ATAGACATTAGAATTAATAGACAATGACATTAAAACAGTTATTATAGTTGTATTCCATATGTTCAGAATGTTAAATGGAGTAAAGTAAGATATTAAAAAAAGAAGACTTGAATGAAACTGTTAGATATTTTAACACTAATGTGTGAAATGGAAAATACACTGGATGTGATTAACAGCAGAATAGATATTGCAGAAGAAAAGATTAGTGAATTCGAATTTGAAGACAAAATGAAACACAGTGAGAAAAGAAAATTAAATGTTGAGCAGAGCATCACTGAACTGTGGGACAACTTCAAGGGGCCTAACATATATGCACTTGGAGTCTCTATAAGAATATGGGAGAACAGAAAAATTATTTAAATAAAAATGCCCCAAAATTTTACAAACTTGTTGAAAACTATAAACCCAGTATCCAAAAATCTCCACACACCCCAACCACAGGAAAACACCAAATTATTTTATAATCAAATTTGATAAAAACTATAAAGCCACAAATCAAAGAAAATCAGTATACCAAAGTATAAGAAAGCATCAAGGTATAATATAATTTAATTGCTCCAAACCAGTGATAGAGAAAAATTTAAAAACAGCCAAAGTTAGCTCTGGCCCCATGGCCTAATGTTTAAGTTCAGTGCACTCTGCTTCAGCAACCTGGGTTCAATTCCTGGGCATGGACCTACACCACTTGCCAGTTGCCATGCTGTGGAGGTGACACACGTACAAAATAGAGGAAGATTGGCCCAGATGCTAGCTCAGGGTGATCTTCATCAGCAAAAAACAAGCAAACAAAACAGACAGGGGTGAAAAATGAACAGTTCTTACAGTGAAATAAACATAAGGATGATAGTATAGGTCTATTGAAAACAATACAAGTGAGAAAACAGTGGAGCAACACCTTTAAAGTACTGAGTGAGGGGTCAGGGGGAAAACTGCCAGCTTAGACTTCTATACCCAGAAAACATATCTTTCAAAAACAATAGTAAGATAAAGACTTTTTCAGCTATTTAAAAACAAGAAGAATTAGTTACCAGTGGAATAAGAATACAAGAAATCTTAAAGGAAGTTTTCAGGCAGAAGGAAATGTTATTGCATGGAAATAGGGATTTACCCAAAGGAATGATAAACATCAGAAAAGGTAGCAACTTAGATAAATGCATGTAATTTTTCTAGATAATTATTTCTAAAACATAATTCTTTAAACAAAAATGAAAACAATGTACTGTGGGATTCATAACGTGTAAAAGCAAAATATGATAGTAATAGCAGAAATATTGGAAGGGGAAAAATGGAGGTACATTGTTACAAGGTTCTTGTGCTATGTGTGAAGTGGTAGAATGACATTCTAAGAGACACAGTGGTAAGCAAAAATGTATAGTATAAATCTTAAAACAACCACTAAAACCAAACAAATACAAATAAACAAACACAAAAACAAATTGTAGTTAATAAGCCAACAAGCAATACCATGGTATCATTAAAAAATATTAAGTTAATTGAAAAGAAGTTGGGGAAAGATGAAAAGTAAAGAGGAAACTAAACAGCAAACTTCTAAATAACACGTGATTCAAAGCAAATACAAAGGAAAATTAAAAAGTATTTAAACTAAACAAAAATGTGCACAAAATACATCAACATCTTTTGAATATTGCTAAGTCACTATTTAGGGGAAGTTTATACACTATACACGTATACCAGAAAAGAAGAAAGGCAAAAATGAATAAATGATTCTAGCTTCCCCTTATGAAATGAGAGAAAAAGGAGGAAATAAAATCCAAAGTAAACAGAGGAAAGGAAGTCATAAAAATCAGAGTAAAGTGAAATAGAAACAAGAGAATTAAGAGAAAAATAAGAAGTTAGTTCTTACAGAACATCAATACAATTGAAAAATCCCTGTTAGACTGAGCCAGGAAAAAAAAAGAGAGAGAGAGAGAGAGAAAGAAAAATTCACAATTACCGATATCAAGAATGAAAGAAGTACTCCACAAGAAAAAATAAAAAAAAAAGGAAAGCGTCTACATTGGAAAGGACCAAGTAAAACGGCCTTCAATGAAGAAAAATTGGAAGGAATCTGTAACAAATCAATTAGAATTATTAAGTGATTTTAGTAAGATTGAAAATCAATATATAAAAAATCACTTGTATACCTATATGTTAGCAGACATTAAAATCAAATGGAAATTAATGAAACATTTCATTCACATAGCAACAAAATTATGAAATACTTAAGTTTAAATATCACAATATATGTGCATAACTTACATACTAAAAGCTACAAAGCATTAATTAGAGAAATTCAAGACTTAAATAAATGGATAGATGTACCACCTTCATGGGTCAGAGCATTCAATGCTGTTAAGATCTCAGTTCTTTCTAAATTGTTTTATACATTCAACAAAATCCCAATCAATATCCAAGTGGTTTATTCTTTTTAAGAAATTGGCAAGGTGATTCTAAAATTCATACAGAAGTATAAAGGAACCAGTTGACCCAGGTGCATTTTAAAAAAAAGAACAAAGTTGGAGGACAAACACGACCTGATTTCCTGTCTTCTTACAATGCCACAACTAACAATAGATTATGGTATTGTACAATAAGTAAAAGAGTTTGGCACTGCCATAAATATAGACAAATAATTCAATGGAGCAGAATAGGGGGTCCAGAAAAAGACTCACATATGTGTGACAACTGATTTTTGACAAAGGTGCAAAGCTAACTCAATGGAAACAGGATAGATTTTCAATAAATTTACCGAATAATTAGATATCCCATGTGCAAAAAATTGAACTTGAATACATAACTCAAACATACACAAAAATAATTTAAATTAGATCCTAGAATAAATGTAAAACCTAAAACTTTTAAAAGAAAACATAGGAGAAAATTTTGAAACCTTGGGTTAGGCAAAGATTGCTTGGATATACTATCATAAGGCAGAAAAGTTGACAAACTGGACTTCATCTAAATTAAATTCTTCTCTTTGATATTCACTAAGAGAATGAAAAAACAAGCCATAGTCTGGGAAAAATATTTGCAAAGCATGTATCTTTTACAATACTTGTATAAATAATATATAGAGAACTGTCAAAGCTGAGTAAGAAAACAAAGAACCTAATAAAAATGGGCAAAATATTTTACCAAATAAGATATATACATGTGTAATAATATATATATATATATATATATGTACATATACAATAAGCACAGGATAAGATGTTCAACATCATTAGTCATTAGAGAAATGCAAATTAAAACCACAATCAGCTACTAGCATTCATCAGTAGAATGGCTAACATTGTAAAAAAGTGACAATACCAACAATGGGCAATTATGTGGAACAACTGGAACTCTTTTACACTGTTGGATGGAATGTAAAATGATAAAATTACATTAGAAAACTGTTAGGCAGCGTCTTAAACAAGGCACATGCGTATTCTGTATGATCCTGCCATTCTACTCCTGTGTATTTACCAAGGAGAAATAGAGCATACATTTATTAAAAGACGTGTTCACGAATGCTCACAGTAGCTTTATTTTAATTTAAAAAATATGGAAAAACCCAAAATATCCATCAACAGGTGAATGGATAAGGAAACTGTGAGATATTATTCAGTAATAAAAAGGAATGAATTATTGATGCTCTCAACAACACGGATGAATCTCAAAATAATTCTGTTGCTCAAAAGAAGCCAGACTAAAAATAGAATATATAGCACTATTCTATTTATATAAAATACTTAAAAATGTCAATCAATAGTGACAGAAAGCAGATTAGTGGTTGCCTAGAAGGGAAAGGTAGGAATGGATTACAAAGTGCTATAAGGAAACTTTTGAGATAATAGATATATTCATTATCTTGACTGTAGTATGATTTCATGGCGATACATGTCAAAACATCAAATTGTACACTTGATGAGAATTTTATGGTATATCAACTATACCTTAATACAGCTTTACAAAAAAGATAGTAAGAATATAGATGATTCGATCAAGACAGATTAAAAGTCTGACTTCTTTATGTATGATACATTTATCAAATTAAAAATATACATTTTTAAAAAACATACATATGAAAATGTATAAGAACTTAACTCAAAAGGTGCACAAGCAATCTCAAAGATTACCAAAGTTTAATATCAGACCAAACTCTCTAAGCACAAAATAACATTGGAAATGCTTCACAAAAAGGCAATGAGAATTAAAGTACATTTATTTGTCAAAAACTTACAAATTGCACCCCTAATATATGACAGGTCTCATAGTGGGTTAATTTGCCCCAAGTATTCTCTACCATATTAAGGTGTCTATTATAAACTTCCAAAACACTATTAACTTGATAAATATTTTGGCATTGCCTAGTCATTTTTTGATTATTTTTTGCTTTTCATGTTATCTCCCAACCACATCATAAATGTCCTTAATATCACTTACATGTCTGTTTTCTCTCAAGTAGAAACAGAACTGAGATACCAATAGAGTTTGCCAAGCCTATTTACTGAATCATGTTGAAGTAAAATTATTTCTAGGATTAAAATATATAACTAAAGGCTTAGATAAAAATAGGTGTCCATTCTTCTGTTACCTTTTCTTTTATTTTCTATCACAAACACAATACTCTCAGTTTCTCAATGAGTATATTGTTGTTACAATAAAGACTGTTAGAAGAGTATTTTAGAGCTATGTCTATTCCAGAAAACTCACAGTATATACAGAAACTTCACAATGATATTTTGTATTATGTATATCTCCCTACACAAATATTATTGTTATTATTGAGTTCTCATGAACGTTTTTTATATCTGCATATCCGAAACTAAGTCCAAACATTTATGGAAAAAAGGAAAAATGCAGAAAGGGTTATACCCAAATACTGAAAAAAATCTCACAAATTCGGATTTGTGGAATTGAAAAAGTACACAAGGTTTAAATTTTACCTTTTCAGTATAGCATTCATGAAAGATTTCCTGACTACTACCTATGTTGCCCTCAAAGTTTCACTGGATGCTCACTTCAGCGTAACATATATTAAAATTATGAATGATACAGAGAAGATTAGCATAGCCTACATGCAAGGAATACACACAAATTCGTAAAGCATTCCATATTTTTAGGGAAGGAAAGCATCAAAAATAACTATAATCACTTCATTTTAATCACAAACTCACAACACAAAATGGAATAAGGTGTGACAACAATAACTTAGATGAAGAAGAGGAAAGAGATGGAACCTACTTAGACTAAAGAGATAAGAGGTTATCAGAAAATTGACTATGTCATCTATGAGATCTTTTTTTTCAAAGATTGGCACTGAGCTAACCTCTGTTGCCAATCTTTTCTTTTCCTTCTTCTTCTTCTCCCCAAAGCCCCCAGGACATAGTTGTATATTCTAGTTGTAGGTCTTTCTATTTCTACTATGTGGGATGCTGCCTCAGCATGCCTTGTTGAGTGGTGCTAGGTCCACATCCAGGATCCGAACCTGCAAATCCCTGAGCCACTGAAGTGGAGCACATGAACTTAATTACTTGGCCATGGGGTCGACCCTGCATCTATGAGATCTTTTATAGCATCCTCATGGTAAACACTAAATAAAAAATTAGAACAGAGACACAAATGATAAACAAAGAGAAAACTGAGAATATCCTGATAGTGAATCAACACCCTGAACTGGCATTTGAAAATACATGAGACAAGAAACAAAGGAAATATAGAACAACTGGAAAACAAGAGATAAAATGGCAGTATTAAGCACTCAGCTATCAATAATCACTCTAAATGTAAATGGATTGAATTCTCCAATCAAAAGACACAGAGTGGCTGAACAGATTAAAAAACAAGACCCAACAATATGCTGCCTCCAGGAAACACATCTCAGCTCCAAAGAGAAGCACAGGCTCAGAGTGAAGGGATGGAAGATGATACTCCAAGCTAACAGCCAACAAAAGAAAGCAGGTATTGCCATTTTTTTTTTATTATTTATTTATTTATTTTTTTTAAGATTTCTTTTTTAATTTTTTCCTTTTTCTCCCCAAAGCCCCCTGGTACATAGTTGTATATTCTTCATTGTGTGTCCATCTAGTTGTGGCATGTGGGACGCTGCCTCAGCGTGGTTTGATGAGCAGTGTCATGTCCGCGCCCAGGATTCGAACCAACAAAACACTGGGCCGCCTGCAGCGGAGCGCACGAACTTAACCGCTCGGCCACGGGGCCAGCCCCAGATATTGCCAGTTTTATATCAGACAAAGTATACTTCAAGATAAAAAAGGCAATGAGAGACAAAGAGGGGCAGTATATAATGATAAAAGGGACACTCCACCAAGAGGACATAAAACTTATAAATATATATGCACCTAACACAGGAGCACCAATGTATATAAATCAACTAATAATTGACCCAAAAGGAAATATTAACAGCAACACAGCAATAGTAGGAGACCTCAACACCTCACTTACATCAATGGATAGATCACCCAGACAGAAAGTCAACAAGGAAATAGTGGAATTAAATGAAAAACTGGACCAGATGTACTTAAGGGATATATATATAGAACACTCCATCCAAAAACTGCAGAATATGTATTCCTCTTAAGTACACATGGAATATTCTCAAAAATACACCATATGTTGGGAAAAAAGGCAAGGCTTAATAAATTTAAGAAGATTGAAATTATATCAAGCATCTTTACCAACAATAATGTTTTGAAACTAGAAATCAACTACAGAAAAAACCTGGGAAAGTGACAAATATGCAGAGACTAAACATCATGCTACTGAACACACAATGGATCAATTAAGAAATTAAAGGAGAAATCAAAAAATATCTGAAGACAAATGAAAATTAAAATACTTCATACCAATGAAGATGCAGCAAAAGCAGTCCTAAGAGGGAAATTCATAGAAATACAGACCCACCTTAACCAATAAGAAAATCTCAAATAAGTAATCTTAAACTACATTTAATACAACTAGAAAAAGAAGAACAAACAAAGCCCTAAGTTAGGAAAAGGAGAGAAATAATAAAAATTATAGCAGAAATAAATGAAATAGAGACCAAAACAACAGTAGAAAGGATCAATGAAACTAAGAGCTGGTTCTTTGAGAAGATAAACAAAATTGACCAACCTTTATCCAGACTCACTAAGAAAAAAAGAGAGAAGCCTCAAATAAATAAAATTAGAAATGAGAGAGGAGAAATTACAATGGATACCACAGAAATACAAAGGATTATAAGAGACTACTGTGAAGAACTATTTGCCTACAAATTGGACAATCTAGAAGAAATGGATAAGTTCTTAGACTCGTACAACCTCCCAAAACTGAATTAAGAAGAGATAGAGAATTTGAATAGACCAATCACAAGAGATTGAAACAGTAATAAAAATCTCACCCCCAAAAAAGTCCAGGACTAGATGGCTTCTCTGGAGAATTCTACTGAACATTCAAAGAAGATTTAATACTTATCCTTCCCAAACTACTCCAAAAACTGAAGAAGATGGAACACTTCCTAACTCATTCTATAAGGCCAATATCACTGTGACCCCAAAGCCAGACAAGGATAACACAAAGAGGGAAAATTACAGACCAATTTCGCTGATGAATAGCTAGAGACATCTATTCTACCATGTGAGTCAGCCTTCTTGTTCTGCTCGTTTTTAGGTTGGGTCTATGTTCGTCAAAAATTCTAGAGAAAAATGAAAACAAAACATTGTTAAATCAGTCATCAAAAAAACTTAGTCAAATGCTTGCTAAGCAGTTGTTTTGAAAAAACTTGTTTCAATACTTAGAAATGTTACATATTTATGACATTTAGGCAATCATGAAAAGACTTCAAGGGGCAAAGGGCTTGTGAGTAGAAGCTGGTGCCTTTTTAATAGAAATAAAAAGTGATTTTAGAGGAAAACCCAGCTATGAAGTTTTCACGTTGCTAAAAGACTTCAGGCAGGGTGGCATGTCTCCACACGATGTGACTTTGTTTTATGTAATTTCACAGTCTGTCAGAAATGAGACTCAAGGGGGCTTACCCCATGATCAAGCGGTTAAGTTTGCATGCTCTGCTTCATCGGCTCAGGGTTTCACCAGTTCAGATCCTGGGCATGGACCTAGCACCGCTCATCGAGCCATGCTGAGGCAGTGTCCCACATAGAACTAGAAGGACCTATAACTAGAATATACAACTATGTCCTGTGGGGCTTTGGAGAGAAGAAGAAGGAAAAAAAAGGATTGGCAACAGATGTTAGCTCAGGGCCCATCTTTAAAAGAAGAAAAGTAATGAGAGTCAAGTTCAAGAGATGATTATATAATGCTGAAATAGAAGATAGAATAGGCACAGCGCAAATATTTCTACATTCTGCACAGCTGGCTGAAACAGAAGACATGAGCCCCTGGAGGTATCCAAGACCCTTTTGAGGGGGAGTGCAGAATTAAAACTATTTTCATGATAATTTTAAGATGATATTTACCTTTTTCACTGTGTTGACAATTGCACCAATGATGCAAAGGCAATAGTGAGTAAAACTGGCAATGCCTTAGTATGAGCAAATTCAGTGGCACCATACTGCAGTAGTCATTGTATTATTCACAGCCACATACTTGCAGAGAAAACAAAAGGCATTTCACTTAAGAATGTCCTTAAAGAAGTAGTAAAACTTACTAATTTTATTAAATCCCAACTCTTGAGTAAATATAGTTTTACTATTCTATGTGTGAAATAGGAAGTGTGCACAAAACACTTCTGCTACATTCTAAACACTATTGCTGTCTCCAGAAAAACCACTTGAATGCTATTGCTTCAGTTAAACTGAACCAGCCACATTTTTTTTTTTAATGGAGCATCATTTTGAAAGACGCTGAAAAAAAACTAGTTATTATTCAAACTTGGATATTAAGTAGACATTTTATCAAAAGTGAACTATCATTTTAAGGAAAACAATTGACAATATTTTCACCATTGATCAAATTTGAACTTTGGAGACGAATGGTGACATGAATGGACAAATTTGTCAAGATTTGGAAGATCTGCAAAGCTCAGTAAATGAATATTTTCCAACTGACTAATGCACAATGTTATACAATTAGACACCATCAAAAGTGTCATCTGGAAAACAAGATATATAAAGCACTTTAATGAAATAGAGTGCAAAGCTCATTGGAATGGTTTCATATTCCACATTGCAACCAACCTTTAAGCAACAGCAACTTGTTGAGTTTTGGTGTAGTATTAAAAAAATATATATATATATATCCACAATCTTCAAAAGGTTATTAAAGCAATCTTCCCATTTCGAACTCATGTTTATTTATCCTCACACATTTCTGAGTGAGGATGGCTTTTGTCCACATGCCTCAACAAAGAGACATATCTTGTGGCCTGATTGCAGAAGCAGATATGAGAATTCAGGCATCTTCTACAAGCCAGATAGTAAAGATATTTGCAAAAATGTAACAAATGCTGCTCTTTTTTGTATGTGTGTGTGAGGGAAGAGACAAAATTTTGAAAAGACAGACAGGAGAATCTAAGCTTTTAGAGGAGGAACAATTACTTCTATCCATGTCAGTATTTCCTGAGGCCATCACTGTGTATCACATGGTAAAATAATAATATATGATGACAATAATGGTAATGTTGACTCACCAATTAAAGGTCTCATGTTAATTTTTTTTTTCGAGGAAGATTAGCCCTATGCTAACTGCTGCCAATCCTCCTCTTTTCGCTGAGGAAAACTGGCCCTGAGCTAACATCCATGACCATCTTCCTCAGCTTTATATGTGGGACGCCTACCACAGCATGGTGTGCCAAGCGTTGCCATGTCCACACCCGGGATCCGAACCGGCAAACCCCAGGCCGCCAAAGCGGAATGTGCACACTTAAACACTGCACCATCAGTCCAGCCCCTCATATTAAATATTGTAAGTGGTTCAGGTTAAGGCATTTCAGTGGAAAGGAAGTGCATAGGCTTCAGAATCAGACAAACCTGGGGGCAAATGCAAACTATCACTTATTTATGTTTCTCCTTGCTAGCTTGCCTTTACAGACATCAGTTTCCTTAGCAGTAGAGTGGGTTTAAAAATATTTCCATTACATAGTTTTTTATAAGAATTGTGTATAATGTAAA